GATTTTATGTACATGAAAGTAGAAAAGTAGTCATTTGTGTTTTGCATGAAACTGCTTATCCTGTAGGCCCCTTATCGTTGGCCCCCAGTCATGACTCATTGTTGTTCACCACTTGCTTTAGTGATGTGTTGCTAGTGTGTGGCTGCCAATAGTGAAACATCCTGACAACTTTTCCTTTATGAAATGGAACAAATTAGTCATGTCCTCCTTTTTCTGGTGCAATGTAGCATCCAGAGGGCAGGAGTGTGGGTTCTGGACCAGTACTACAGCGACTTCCCAGTCTATAACCCGGCATTGCTTAACCTCCCCAAGTCCATCCTTACCAAGAAGATGTCCTCCTTCAAAGTCTACAACCTGGAAGAAGGTACATTTTCTCTCCTTTATATTATAAGACGCCATCATTGTTCAGTACCAACGTGCTGTACGGAGATCAGCACCTTGGTTGAAAAGGCCTTATCGGTGCCTCACCTGTCTGAACTGGCACTTTCCTAATTGTGTGTAATCAAAAGATGAAACGGTTGATCATATCCATCCTTTAGATGGAACAATTTACAGGCATGTCTCTGCCCACAGAGAACACCAACAACTCCACAGGCCAGTCCAGAGCCATGATAGCAGCTGCCGCTCGAAGAAGAGACAACTCTCATAACGAGTACTACTACGAGGAGGCAGAGGTGGAGAGGAGGCTCCGCAAACGCAGGGCCAGGTAGCAATACAGGGAAAAGTACTAGACATTGCTCTTAAATACTTGATAGACCTCACAAAGTAACTCCTCTGGACCAGTCTAGTTAAAGAAGTAGCTCGTATTCATCAAGTTAGCGACTTTGGTTGATGTTCTAGTGAAAACATTCCACCTCTCTTACATCCTGTTTTGTGTCCTTGTAGACTGGTAGTGGCAGTAGAAGAAGCTTTCACCCACATCAAGCGTCACCAGGATGACGACACGCCCACATCGTCTCCCAAACACCCACGGGAGGTGATGGACCCCAGGGAGGCCGCCCAGGCTATCTTCGCCCCCATGGCCCGGGCCATGCAGAAGTACCTGCGGGCCACCAGGCAGCAGTCCTATCACACCATGGAGAGCATCATCAACCATCTGCAGTTCTGCATCACACACAACATGACACCTAAGGTTAGGAGGTGTTTCTTTTGAAATGTTAATGTAGTGCCAACAAGTAACAACTTGCTACAAATATCTGTGTGTGATGCCTTGAAATTGATAATCTCATAGACTTTATTTGATTGAGGGCCAAAATTTCAACATTTCTTAACTGTTTTTATTTTCACACTTTATTGCATCAACAATCCAAATCTTCTGACAAAACTATTCCCCTCCTCACCTGCGGGGGTGTTGTTCCAAGAACCAATGAAGGAAACAACACAAAAGTCTCTGAAGAAGATACTTGGAGCAACTTCCTTCCAAAAAATGTGAACAGACATGGAGTCAGATTTTAACAGTTGTAGAATTTCTCTTTTGTCTTTGATAAAAGTTCACAAGACATTTCTCCCACTACTGGTAGAGTCATGCATTTCTTATGGTTGCATTTAACCAGAATGCCCTGCGCTATTTTCTGCACCCTGCTTTTAGAGCAATGGCATCCATTCAAAACGCACCGGATTTCACTTCAACCAAACCAAAATCTAGGGATTTCTTTTTAGGGTGACCAGAGTTCCTCATCACAGTTCAACTGTGCATTCACACCTCCCCAAACAAACTGTACTTTCTAGGCAAATGGACAAAAGTTTGATTAAAACCAACTAACCGGGGCTGGGGTGAATGCACCATAAGAAGCTCCTTACCTTTCAGACACTCCCTCTTACGCACATCATTACAACAATGCTTCTCCATGCCGTCCATTGATGCAATTTGCAACCGTTCTCATGAGTCTTAACGTTTCAATAATAAGCTCAGCAGATGTGTGATTTCACCATCCATGAATGAGTCAAAAGCTATGTGTTTGGTTGGGTAATGACGTGACCTCAAATAAAGCTCAAACAAGTTGATTTTGCATGATACAACTCCTCGTGACCCACTTCCTCCTCCTCTCCTTAAAGGCCTTCTTAGAGCGCTACCTCAGTCCCGGTCCCACCCTCCAGTATCTGGACAACAACAGGGGGCGCCAGTGGACACTAGTGAGCGAGGAGCCAGTGACGGCCTCCTTGCGCCAAGGCCAGATCTTCTGCCTGAAGCGCCTCGACTTCGCCCTGGTCGTGAAGGTGATGCCCCTCCCTTTCCTGCGCCTAGCCGAGGAGTTCATTGACCCAAAAAGCCACAAGTTTGTCATGAAGCTCCAGTCAGAGACGTCTGTCTAGCAGAACGGATGCAGCTGGACAGAAGGAAATTGGGAAGTTGAAAGATGCTTCTTATCGAGGGTTTTTGGTTTATGTACTTTGTAGTATTACAGTGTTATTGTACATGTTTTTTTTTTATTATTATTTTCCAAATACAAAGCCATACAGTATATGGCCAAGATAAAAACGATGAAGTCATAGTCCTTTATGTTAGTTAAAGAAAGAAAGATAAAGACACTTCCCTGTCTGACTGCTGCTGGGAAGTACCAGTTTCACTTTGTTCTTCTCTAAACAAATGTCATACACAACAAAAGGTGTTCTTTAGGCTCTGCTCCACATCCAGATGTGCTTTTGGCTTCTCTCATGTTTTTTTTTATGTTACTATTTAACATGACCCTTCAAACCACCACTGCTGAACAAATGGTGGATAATATTTCTTTTGTTTTATTTTTTGTTTTTTTGGTGCAACTCAAATTGTAACCTTATAAAGCAGAATCAAACATCACAAAACCCAACTGAAATGATGTCTTCCCGAGTCTTATGACAAAATGATACAATCCGAAACAAAAGACAACAGTTTCTTTTTTTGTTTTAATCGCAGTAGCAGTTCCGCTTTCTTTAAATGGCAGACGAAGACAAACATACTTAACTTCTACAGGGAAGTGTGTCATCTTTCTTTTATGTGACGGACGAGAAACAAGTGGAACAAAAAAATTTATTAATTGCTTTGCTTGGAACGCAGTTTGTGTTCACAGAAAGGTTGTGGCTTCCTGTGAGAGATAACACACTGGACACATTAACCCCTCCTCCGCCCGCGTTGTACGCAACGTATACTCCTGCTGCATCCACAAGCTCCCATGTGAAACTTTTCTTTTTAAAGGAGTGTTGCAGCTTTACTTGTAAATGAGGGTACAAAAATTCTGGACTCCATCTTCTAAAGAGCTTTGGTTAATGGTGCAGATTTTTTTTGTTTGTTTGTTTGTTTTTTGGGGGGTTTTTGTAGAGTTTGCTACATCAGACAACAGTCATAAGAATTACCGTGTATGGAAATCAGATGACGGAACTTAACCTGACAGTGAAGCTAAACACATGGTGTCTCTGCTGGGAAAATGTGGATATAGAGCTCACGGTGCGCTGAGCAGTTTGTTTATTCACTGGCACATAGGAACTTTTCTCAAATTGTCGACACTGACTGTTGTTAACTGAAGGTAATACTTGCAAGTATTCCACACTAATATTTTAAAAAAGTACATTTTTGTGATAAGCCAAGTCTCTCTGGAGAGTGTGTCTTTGTCCGTGGAAAGTTTTTTCACTAGGTTTGTGTACATGCCTGGTTTACCATAGCTGCCAAACACAAATCTTGGTCGGGTTAGCTTGATCATACCGTGATGTAAGTCTTTTTGTTTTTCTGCGGCACGTATTTTTTCGTCCAAACACTGAAAGCCTTAACAAACACTTTGGCGTACGTTAATTTAGACCTCAAAGAAAAACCTCCTGCTCATACTATTTTTCTACTCGATCGACTCGGAGATAATCTGTTTTCACTAGTCATTACAGCCAGATGGAGAAGACAAAAGTAACCAAAAACGAAAAAATTAAATGAATTTTCACCAGAATATCTATGCAGTTTTTAAATCTTTGTTGTTCCTAACTACATGACAAACCAATGGAATAGAAAAAATGGTGCATCACCCCAACCAATGAATGAAAGGAGTGCTTTATAAAATTACAGAACTGAAATTTACAGAGGTTACTTGTCGCCTGCTTCTCTTGCATGCAAACGCCATCACAGAGCATGTCTGTGAATTACGCTGTCATCTCAAATTATCTTTTGAAGTGTGACACTCAACTGCAAGAGCATTTATTAAGTCAGACTGGATTCCCTAGTGAATCAATCTACATGCTAATTTATAGATATGTTCGATGGTTGAAATCGAATCTAAAGGCAAAAGCAGAGGTACAATTAGTTTGAGTTGTTAAAAGAAATTAGAAAAAATACTGGAACAGAAAGTTACTTTTTCATTTTGACTTCCTGTCCAACTGAGGAAGTTTCGCAAGCTACTGAGAAATAATGGTGATCTTGTACGGTGGAAGTCGAAGTGGGATGAACGCAGTGGGGAGTGGGCTGAGAGAAGAGGAAGTGTGGGGGCGTTGCCAGTGACAGCCCAGACTTCAGTGTTGTGACCTGCTTTCTAGTATTACTGTTGGTACTTGGATAACAAAGCCAAGCGCTCTCAAATTCAAATATGGATTACAGTTCAGGTGCTCAAACCTTATGAAGGCCTCTGAAAGATTAGTTTTAATAAGCTAACTAATCAATAAATAGTTGATTCAGTGTTCTGTTGTCAGGAGTAATAAGCTGTTACTGTATGTCACTGCAGGGCTCTCGCACATCTGTTCATGCATGGAAATGGTGAAATATGTGTAATTACATTATTGTACATCTTGAGAGTGTATAATGTTCTTTTACATCTGCTAAAAATGCTAATATCTTCAAAGGACAATGTTATCAGAAACTATTTTTTTGTACTGTTATGTTGATGCCAGTGGTGTGTAATAAATAACCACATTTTTAAATGTCACCTGTTTTTTTTCTTGGGTTTTTTTTTGTGCAAAAAAAGAAAACATGTGATATGTGATGTGGTGACGAGTGTGACTGACGTGTATAATAGTTCCAAGGAAAAACAAAACAAAAACTCGATGCCACGTTCTGTCGCGTCGTTAAGGAAGTTGCAGACGGAACGTCCTCCTTCTTTTAAGACCTCACTGTCTGTTGAGCGGTGTCGCAACCATGAGATTGATCGTCCTTTTCCTGTTGTTTCAAGGTGAGTTATTATACCAGCGCCCCGTTTCAGAGAGCGGGGTTAGTGAATGACATATCAGGGTCAGGTGTTAGGTGTGTGTACTTAAGCTGACGGCTGTATGTCAGAGAGCCGCGCAGCCGTTACCTTCAGTCACCGCAACTCATCCTGTGAACCGTAAACTCTGGACTTTGTCCCGCTTTTTAGCCGGTCAAGCATGGGGAAGTCGGCAGAAAAGCCTGTACATATATTTCTGTCGAGTGAGGGTGGTCGTATATTCTGGTTAACATACTGCCGTTTTCCTCAATAAATTATTCTGCGCAGGTGTGGTGAGCCTTTTACCCCGTTAGCAGCTCGTCTCTGCTCGAAGGTGTTTCGGTTTGACCTCCGCGAGATGTCGTGTGAAGTTTTTGCTTCTCTTTTATGTTTTGTTTGTTTGTTTGTTTTTTAATTTTTTTTTTTACATTTTATTTTAAAACCAAGCTTTTTTAGACGGGCCCTTGCTCGCGCCCTGTAAGCCGGCGCTGGCTTCCTGCGTTAGCTCAGAGTTAGCATAGAGCTAGGTAGGTTTATTCACAATATTCTCCTCAGCGTTTCTTTGAGGCCCAGGTTTTTGAGAATATAGTGCCTGTTTTAAAATGTAAAATGTAAGACGACGGGTCAGGACAAATAGTAAGACCGACAGAAGCTGGAATGTCAAGTTTTACTTCAAATCGTCTGGTTTCTATGCCTCACCAGAGCATTTGGTGTGTGCTGAGTGTGTATCTGAAGTGTAGATGTTTGAAAAGAGAACATGTGGTTGGTTTGATGGCGAGTTCTCATCATAAGCATGGAAAAGACAAAAAAATAAAAAATGTAGGAAATATTGTATACTTTATTTCTGTATTGGTTGTTTCTTAATTCTCTAACGATTAAAAGATTGATCCTGAAAAATGCTTTTTGACAATTTGCATATGCATGAGATCCAATAATACAAAGCAATGTGTCCCAGTGTGTATTTCCCCATTATTAGGAATTGATACTGATGACCTTCTTACTTCAGAAACTTAACATCCCAATACAAATGATATCTGTGACGACAAACTGCCAAACGAAAGTAATCCTGTGGAATTTTTCATATTTTATCCAGTGACAAACTTCAGTGGATTTTAAGGATTCTAAGTCACAAACTAAGACGTAGCAGAGAATTAGTTTGACCTGGAAAAGAAGTAACTTATGATTTTTGTGCCCCGGAAATCTTAAGAGTGTGGCATGCATTTGTAGTAACTCTCCCTGACTCAGTACTTTATATCCATTTGTTACATACATGGGTGTAACACAGCTTTCAGGCTTTTTATACTTCTGAATTGGGCATAAATTGGTATAAAATTCCAACAAAATAAAAAAAAAATGCATAGCAACTTTATACACAGAAAAAAAACTAACTTTCCAGTATCTATAATACTAGAAAATTTATTTGACGTCTGTGCAATTTGAATTAAGTGTCTGTGACTTCATTTGAAGTAACAGCGGTAAATGAGATGTTTCAAGAATCCTATTTGTCATGAGCTGTCATCCTTTCTTCAGAGATGAAACACGACCATGCAGGAAGCATGTCATGCATATATTTAGCAACTCTTCAACAGTAAGTGTCATAGGAGGTTATTTTCAATGCTTTTAGCACATCCACGCATGATAACTTTATGCTGACGGGTTGAAAGATCAGATATTTATCTGCCTCGAAGCTTTGTTAAGTTCTGTTTTATTATTTAATGCACAGTGTTCCTGCCGGGTTGTTACTACTGCTGCACAGAGCTCTCACTTCCTCCTAAATTGTTGACAAAAGCTAAGTGTTAGCAGCATAAGGTCCAATTTTCAAGTTCGGCCTGGGACGATTTTATTGACTCATGATGATGTCTGGGTTTTGGTCGATTTTTTTCGGGAGACCAGTAGACGTCCTTAAAATGACAGGCGCAATGCTTGGAGTATGGCAGCTTTTCTCATCCAGGGAGAAAATTATTGCTGTTATTGTTACAAGTTAATTTTCTAAACTACATAAAAGTTATTGTTAAGGAAGCTCAAATGTGAAAAATTGGACTGATGTTGATATGCAATAGTAATACTGTTACTACGTTGACCGCTGGAGATGGGCTCCTGGTGATCCCACTAGGGATAAAGGTGTAAGAAAATGGATGAGGGGTTAAAAGGTCTGTTTAAATGGTATCTGTTGAAGAAGGGGAACAGAAATAAGGGAGATGGGACCTGATCAGGAAGAAGAAAAGTGCCTCACTGTGAGGAACATTTTGGGGTTTGCAAAGCGCTAATAAAAGCTCCGATGGCTGAGACTGTCCCAGTTCATTCCTCTTTGAGACAGTGATGGAAATGTTTGTCCTGCATAGCTTACCCATCACACCATCAATAAGCCCAAAGCGAAGGTGTTTAAGTGTCGTGATGTTCTTTCACATGAGTGGAGACGAAGTGTGTTGGTTTGGTTTATCATAATAATGACAAGATGAGCAACATAGGCAAATCTGTTGAATACTGGAACAATAACATGTCATCCCTCATCAACAGCATTGAGCAGTGGATTCTGTCTGAAAGAGCAAGATGCAGTTGCTTTGGTAAGCCTCCTCTCTCTCTCAGCATGGACTTTATGGTGGTAGTGGTGGCTGGTGTGGGTGAACTGGTCTTTTACCGGTCTCTTGACAACCTCTCTTTGCCTGCGTTGGTGTTTTAAGAAAATAACTGCACTTTTCTCTCTATGCGTTTTTTATGGACTAATAACTCCTTGACCTTTATATATATCAAAGAAGTGAAAATTCACTCTTGTATCAAAGAAGTCTCTCACTTGTTTCATTTACCAAAATGGACATCTTCGCAGAGCATGTACCAATTTGTAAGTTTTGAAACCCCTAGACTGCATCCATACCCAGTTAGAAATATCTGCCCTCACTGGCTGGCCTTTTAGGAACAATAAATGGCAATACTAATAGTGAACCAAATAATCACATTGTAGCAATATCTAGATATCGCAAGGACAACTGAAGTTGATCTAAGTGACTTTGAACATGGCATGGTGGTTTGTCTGAGTGATTCAGAAACAGCTGTCTCTAAGGTTTACATGGCTACATTCAGTGGTTAAAAAAATGGAAGGATCCAGAGGCAGGAAGTTTTGATATACTGTGAATGCACAACACATCAAACTTGAAAGGAGATGATCTGCTGCAGCAGAACACCATGGCGGATGCCATATTGGATCTCAACATCAATCTGAGGCTAGAACATGAGCTGGGCTCCTACCACATTTCTTAGTAATTTGCTGGGAAAAGGCGGCTTATGAAAGGGCAAAAGTTGGGATGGATCTAAGCAGTCACCTAATCCAAATTGAAGTAACACAATCTTGCCTCAGGGAGGCAATGAATGTGTAACGTAAAGACATTTCAGTGGTCAGTCTGACTGGAAAGATGCTGTATCTATTCTGTCTGTACTATTCACAGGAGCTTTAAGTACCTTAAAGAGATAAAAAATTAAGAAAAAAGTTTTTTTTTTTTATCAAAGTAACTTATTATTTTAATTATTATTATTATTATACATGACAGTTGCACTACTTCTTTGGCTTGTCCTCTGTGATACAGGTAAAAAGAGCACTCTTCAAGACAAGGATTTTACTTTAAAATGCAAAGGGCAATCCGTAAAGTTAAATTGTGGTCCAGTAAATGGACCTACTAGCAGGTTAAGAACGCTGATGAACGGCATAATGGAGGAACGCCGTTGTGATGACATGCTGAAGGCTGAGTGTCAGAAAGAACACTTTAACATTTTGATGTAAAAACCTTGTCCATGCACATTGTCAGCCTGACAACAAGGTATGAACAGGTTTGGCTTTCAACCTTGTGGTTAAAGTTCACTGGAACTATGCTGTTTATTTAGGTATATGCCTGAGGACAAACAAAGAGAGAGCGCTTTGCTTCACCAACTGGAATTACAGAAATTACAAACTAGACCAACAAGAAACAATACTGTTTTTTTATTATGATTTATTTTTAACACAACTACTATTAGTGTTACGGCCCCTGGCCTCTTGAGGCTGTGCAGTTCTTTTGTTTATGCAAGTTCAGCTGTGAGAGCACACCTTGCTAATTGGTGGCTGGGCAGTAGAACAGCAGTCTTCAGCCAATGATGATCCAGCCAATCAGATGCTAATGAGGGCCATCTGCTCCTTAGAAAAAAGGAGCAATTCCTCCAGTGGGGTAACTTGTTGGAAGAGGTTTTATCCAGTTAGCCACCCACATTTGTTTGCATGCGTTTGCTTGTAGTTGCCTGTTTTGGGCAGTTTTGAAGACTCTTAATCTGCTGACCCATTTTTGTTTTGCTCAGCGTTTGGCTCTGATCTTGATTGCTTCATCTTAATTTTAGAAGCGTGTGTTCGGGAGGCATGACGTTCTCTTTTTCTTCTTTTTGGTTTTTGAGTTTACTTTAAATAGATTTGTTTGGCTGTTTTTGTTGCTGTTTCACTTAACCCTCTTTAATTTGTACTGTTTTTTTGTCTTTAAAGCCACCCTTTTTTTCTCTCTAATAAATCATTTTCAATCTCACTTGTTACTCTGGACACTTCTTGATGTTACCACCCCTGATCCCCTAGACCAGGGGTCTCAAACTCCAGTCCTAAAGGGCTGCTGCCTGCAGTTTTTAGATGTGCCACAGGTACAAAACACAGAAATGAAATGGCTTAATTACCTCCTTCTTGTGCAGTTCAGTTCTCCAGAGCCTTGCTAGTGACATAATTATTCTATTCAGGTAAGGTGCAGCAGAGGCACATCTAAAAGTTGCAGGGCACTGGCCCTCCAGGACTGGAGTTTGACACCTGTGCGCTAGACCTTAAGGTCGTAACAATTACACTAATGCCTTTTAATTTATTCCTCCAGGGCTGCAGGTTGAAGGTTTAAACCCAATAGGCCCCACAATCACAATTACAGGGTATGTAGGTGAATCCATTGTCTTGCCAGGCAGCATCCCTGATTCATGGACTGTGAACAGAATTGACTGGACAATATTACACAACAGCACCTGGATTGCAACATGGGACCAAGCTGGTATAAATACTGAACGTCGCCCAGAATATGCAGGGAGGCTCAAACTTGACACAAAATCAGGTAAAAAGGAAATGGTCTGACAAAATGCAAATACATGTTGATTTCTATTTACAATGTGTTCTGTGTTTCTACAGCGAATTTAACGATCCAAAATCTTCAATTACGTGATGCGATGACTTATTATGTGGAGCTGGTCAACACAACAGTTTTCACCCTAAGAAACCAGGTCAATCTCATAGTGAAAGGTAAGTTGCCAATTTTCATTAGTCATGAAATTAATATATCGTTTTAACATCTTCCTAAATTTCCTTAACTCTTTTTATTTTTCCTATACTCATTACATCATTTTAGATCAAGTCATTTGGGATTTTTGTGGTGTTAAGTTCAATTGAAAATCAACCTTTTTTTAATTTTTTTTTTTATTCGAAAACAATTGCAGTGCGCCTCAAGAAACCGACCTTACAGCTTTACCAAAATTTCACACCAAGCGAGAATGGCTGTGTTTTGGTGCTCAACTGTTCTTCTCCTGATCCTGGTGTCGCCTTCACCTGGAAGGTCAACCCTACGTGTCATCACTGCAGCAACAACTCTTTGAATGGCACGTCAGAGCTTCTCGCCTTTTTCTTGACAACCCCAGACTCTGTAAATCTCACCTGCATTGTCATGCGCGAATCGCAGAGCAGATCAAGCTTTTTGATGTCAAAGATTAAAGGTGAGTTTGTTAGTTATCATCTACCGTTTCTTTGGTACAGGAAGAAGCTGTTGCACCTGGACAAATAATGTTAACATTAAGCCAACATTTATGGTTTAAATGCCAGATTTGAGATGCACCATTGGAAGTGTTTTTCAGGCTAGCAATATAATCACAAGACTTTATTCAAATCTACCAAAGTAGATGACATGAAGTCGCATCACTTTTTGGTTTGGTGTCTCTATTACATAGTCTCCTCTACCCAACGCATTCAACATTGTTTAGCTGGTCAGTTACTGGTTGTGAACAATCACAATTGCACTTAATTTCTAAATTAAAATGTATTTGTCTCTGCAAAACTTTGATCAGAAAATATTCTTTGTCAATTGCTTAGAAGTCGGTTTTCCTTTCATTTAAATGAGAAATTCTCTACAAAAAGCCTAAAGAGATTTTTTTTTTACAAAAAGCCAGAAGAGGTTTGAAATCAGTATGAATCCAGTTGAAATCAGAGGCGTAGATTTACAGAATAAAAAAGGTTGGCAGTCTTTCACACTTGCGCTTTAAGAAACCAGCTGGGAGTAAACCTTTTCTGGAACACCTACAGAGGTGTGAAGTGTACAGAACAATGGTGGATAGCATGGTGCTGTGTTGTACTGAACCTGTTGAGTTGAACATAACTTCCGATCAGGAATACAGTATTCCTAATCGGATCCAGTTATGATCTTTCTCTGTCTCCCTTTGTTCATGGGCGACAGAGATACGTTATTGTTTACGATGAGGCACAAGCTAAGGGCGAAAACCGCATGCGAAGACATCAATAAATCACACTGCCATCTAGTGGTCTGGGAAGAATTACAGCTGAGTCAAGGCGCTGCTCTGTTTTCATGATCTGCTCTGCTTTACTTTCGGCTGAACATCTATCCAGTCTGCAAACTGCTGTATGAGGTTCTAACATAACTTTTCTATCCTGGAGGTCATTCTTATTAGTTCAACATTTATTTATTTTTTTAAGAAATGGGTTTTCTGTCTTTTCATTAAATAAATTTGATAATCATCAAAATGAACAGAAGGAAACTTGAAACACATGTATGATCTGATGTTCTGGGGGTAATAAATCTATGAAGTTTTACTCCTTCAAATTTAATTACTGAAAACAAATGTTATTCAATGGATTCTGGCTCAAAGTTTCTGTCTGGACTGGAGAAGCTGCAGTCTCTTTACAATCCGAATGTTTAAATATGTTTTTATATATGAATTTGATCAATCGTAGCAATTCAAGATCTCTGTAAATGTAAAATGTGTGATAAATAACATGTTACCTTAGTTGCAGTTTAATCGAACGTGGCAAGTTTTTTTTTTTAATGAAGCTGTTGATAGAAAAAACTACACTGTTTAACAAGGACTTCTACATATGTTTTACACTGTGTTATGATCTTTTTTTTCTTCCAGTTCCAAGATTCGAACCCCCACCCGATTGTGGTTTCGCTTGGGGATTGTTCGCTACTTTGCTGATTGTGATTGTGGTGACTTCACTTTTGCATTTCAGAGGTGAGACAAAAACATTCATATTATTCACTTTCTTTGCATGCTTCCTTTGTGACGCTCGTTAAATATGCGGACAAAACTGTTCCAATGGAAGAGGGTGGAAAAAAACCTATTGATAATGAAATAATAAATGAGTAATATTTTTAAAAGTAAATATTAAAAGTGATTTTAAGTACATTTCATGCCTGTCTGTGTCTCGGACTGAACTGTGAATTGTAATATCTAGTAACTTTTTATTTATGTTCAACCAAACTATAACTTCTGCTTCAGGTTTGGCCAGCCATACATTGACATTGTGTTTACATTTCAGAGAATATAATCAACATGTTCCAGAGGGGAAGAACAAATAGTTTCAATCCATCATCACCAGAGTCCATGCGGAGAGCGGGATTTCCCAACAATAAAAGTCCTAAATTTGACATGGTTGTTTTAAAAGGAGTATTGTGCTGTTCAACTGTTAAGAAAATAACACCCCCGAGTTTATTTTAATATTTCTTTTTAAAGAAACAGTGGTTGAGATGAACAATATGATAAGCCTTTTACCAGTATCATTGAAGATAGATAGATAGATAGATAGATAGATAGATAGATAGATAGATAGATAGATAGATAGATAGATAGATAGATAGATAGATAGATAGATAGATAGATAGATAGATATAGATAGATAGAGATAGATAGATAGAGAGATAGATAGAAGACAGAGATAGATAGATAGATAGACAGACAGACAGATAGAGACAGATAGATAGATAGATAGATAGAATTTTAAAGTTTTCATTTCACATGTCTGGTCTACATCGTGCTTAATTTTTCATGGGTTTTTTTTTGCCTTTCTTTTTTATGTTGAGCCTTTTTGAATTGAGATGATGCCGCCACTCAGTGAAATAAAACATTTACCGCACCCAAATGATACAGTATGGACAAATCCCATAGTACTTGAGCCTGGCCTGGCCCAAGGTTGTATGAGCACATAAGCAGTATTTGATGTGGGGCTCCTCTTCCTGGTAATGTCCTGCAGCACTGGCTGTGTTTTAGTGCAGATTTGCTGGAATCTGGCAGAGAGAGCAGAGTTTAATTGGTTGACACATATATATATATATATATATCATATATATATATATATATATATATATATATATATATATATATATATATATATATATATATATATATATATATATATATATATATATATATATAGCGCACACACACACACACAGAGAGCGAGAGAGAGGTTTCTCAAAGGTTTTGCATTGTCATCCAATGGAAACAAGTGATGACCTATGTCTGTTTATGGCAGAGTCCAAGAATCCCCTGTGAAATTTTTGACTATCACAAAGATTGACTGAGAAATCTTTGTATGTCATCCAATCATCTGCAGATCCAAAGGGGGTGGAGGAATCTAGAAGTTGAAGGAGTTTTTTAGAATTGTTTTTACATTCGTTAATGCTGTTAATGTGAGATGCACCTGTAAAGGCCCTTATAAATTCATAACAAGCAGTCATATTTATTACTGGTTTTTAATATATTTTTTAATTTTACTATGCCAACATCTGCTTTTTGTAACTTAATGAGAAAATCATCATGGTGCTTATATGTGTGACTGATTTTCAAAGACTGTATGATTCATGACTGTGTCCATGGCTGTTTTTTTTTTCTAGGTGAATGTCCAACAGTGTTTTGTATTTGTTAAATAAATGTGTTTTTTAATAACTCTGCTTCTTTTTGATGCGACGTAAATACATATTTAAAAGAAAGCAGTCTTGCTAAACATTTAATTTTATTTATTCCAACCAGCCAAGTTGGAAGGAAAAACGACTTCAACTTTTATTCTGAAACTTGATAGGTTTATGCTTTGATCGACCAAAATATGTCAATGATTAGCATCCACTACATATATTATTTATGTCTACCAAACTTGGACAATTGAAACCAGAAATTAAGACACACCACATAAAACCACAAGCTTTCTTTCTTTTTTTTTTTTAAATCACTGTTATAATTAAATTAAACCAAACTTTGTCTCTTTTTTTTTTCCAAATTTCACAATATGTCAGACTTATTCATGTCTTCAATGTCAAAAATGTAAATACAGAATGATTACTGTCTCTTTAAGGGAACGCCCAGATGGTGAGATCACGGTAACGTTAGAAACCTCTGATTGGTTAGCTGACATGTTCTGGTTTGACACAATGGAAAAGTCAAAGAAATCAGAAAAAATGTCAATTTTTATTATGGTACAAATGGTTTTTAAAAAAATAAATAAAAAAAAAACATAAAAAGCATATGTACAGCTGGGTGAACGGCAACACAAGTGAACCTCAACAGGACAAACATTTGCATAATATACAATTTTATATAATCTATATATTTACAAGATGTACAAACTTAAGTTACAGTGCCTGGTTGCACATTTAAAAACGGAAAGTTATAAACTTCCCAGCTTTAAAAATAGGAAAAAAAAGAACAGGCAAATTTTAAATGAACGATAAACGTGTGCATTTTGCAAACCGCCCCTAAATTAGGTTTTATCAAATCAATATTTCTTATTAATTTGCATATCATCCACAGAAATATGTATTATTTGAGAATTTGACTAAGCCTTGCAGCAAAATTAAACACCACTGGGTGTTTTCTGACTTTTTTTTTTTTCCTGAGGTGCACCGAAACGCAAAGGTTCAAACCGTCTAGGAAACCTCCTGGTACGGAGACACCGAAGCCGTCCTCATCCGTTCAATCTGGATCTTGTCGTAGATCGTCTGAGGCTAAGCGATTGGGAGAAAACAAAAAACAAAATTGGTTTTAGGGTTTCTCAGCGGTGGCTTAAGAGAATCTTTTCCTGCAGGTTCCAATGGTTAAACAATTCACGGAGAGTGCTATGAAGGATAATTTGTTCTTCCAGTTCTCAACACACTGAAGAGCACAAACGGAGAACAATTCAGAACTAAGACATCTACAGCAGGATAGTGAATATGTGGTGTTCTGCTGTTTAATTAAAGCATATATAGAGCTGGAAAATATGGCTGACATACACATCACAATATAAGCAATTTATATCAGTCAATATTGGTAATTATTGATTTGTTTTTTGTTTTGTTTGTTTTATATGTCTGAAATGCATCCAAACTGGTGACATGACCTTCACTGCTTTATCCACAATTTCCTCTTGAACTGTTGACTCCATCTTTGCAAATTTATTATTATTATTAAGTAATAAAAAAATAGAGAGAGATGTTAAAGGCTCACATGTGCCTCTGTCTCCCCAGTATGTGTTTTTTAAATATTATTTTAGTGATTGGCGTCATTTGACGGTTCTCCGGTTGGGGGCGCCATACAGCTAGCCGAAGCTTTTACGCACCGGAAGCGTGCGTCCGTTTTGTCAAAGAGAAGAAAAACAAAACAGAAGAAAGAGCGCGAAGGCTTCCAGAAATATGAAAGGGAGACTTCAACTTGGGACGGATGAACCCTGAGTTTTGGTCGGGCTGAAGTTTTTGTTGTTTTTGAATTTTTGGAAAGAGCCGACTGGAAGCTAACGGACGGTTGGACTGGGAAGTTCACGCGCCTCCTATTACTAGCCACCGATAAAGTCACATTTGGTGTGTTTTCAGGAAAAAACAGGGGGGAAACTATATATCTAAAGAAAAATAATAACACGAAGGGGGAAAAAGCTGTTGAACTGAGAGAGTGACGGAGGAAAGACTCCACGGAACCTCAGCTCGTTGGTGAACTCTGAACCGACGTGAAGCCGGCCGCGTGTGTTCCGTTAGGTGCCTGTTTTGTGAATTATTATTATTTTTTTCCCATACGGGAAATACGGGCGTAGAGCCTATTTTTGCGGTTGTAACTAGTTAAAGAATTTACATTTGTAAATTATAAAAAAAAAAGTTGCTAAAAAAATTGTTCACGGAAGTGAATATGATTTCCTGTCGCTAGATGGAATTTATTTTTACTTAACAACAATCTTTGTTTTTTTTAATTTAAATTAGTTGTTTTGCGAGTAAAATAATTACAAAAACCACATATTAAACAAGATGAATGGGAAGAAATAATCTGATATTTTCGATATCCTCCAGAGGGAGCTGTTGCACCGCCTCACGCCCTTTTGGGCCACCACTGGAGGTCCATCTCTTACCATTTGGTGATCCGGACTGTTCCTGCTTTCGATGGTGTCATACAGAGAGCAGGGTTTATCAGAGGGCGCCTGGAGGAGTTAGGGAGGAAAACACTCAGTTAGGAAACTCTAAATCAATGTAAAAATTTGCTTGTTGAACGGCTCGAGTTGTACTAACGACTTCAGATGAAAAATCCGAGATGTCGGCATAAACTGTGAGTTCGTTTGAATCACTGCCTGCGTAAAGAAAATAAAATGACAGAAATGACTCAGAGGCTGGTAAAAAGTCACAATAATGCGGTAAGGGAGAGGGGTGGGGGGAAATGGCACATTATAGAGTTTCTTACCGGACCATGTCCTTTTGCAGAGACATACGCTCGCCACTATGACTATAATAATAATGACCAGTAGACCTCCTCCTGCTCCAATGATAATCAAGACTAGGAGTGGTATTCCTGTACGTGACAACAGATTAACAATATGTTAATATTCAAAAAGAAGCAAAGGAAAATAATTTGTACAGCAATGTTTGCCTGGTATACACAGTGCCTTGTATTCACTCTTGTCACATTATAACCGCAAACGTCAGTGTAGTTTAAAATAGAATGGAAAAAAACATTAAAATCAGGAATACCAGCATCAGAGCAACAGGAAAAAAGATGCAACTAACGGATCTGAAACTCAGGAAGAAGAATATATTAGAAGACAAAACATACTTTGTATTCTCAACAAAACAATTTAAAATAATATATCCTTTTATTCGCCTTTCCATTTTTATGAAGTGTGATGTGTTTGGTCAATTGTATCAAATTATGATTAATATACAGTGAAATTTGTGGTCATAACGTGACAAACTGAAAAAAAAATCAAAAGGTTTCGATATGTTTTGATTAAGCAATGAATTTTTAGTATGAAGGTGCTAAAAATTGTTTTAACCAGATATGACTTTGGTCAAACAAATAATAAAGAAAAACTTTAACATAATAAAAGAAACAGAAATGTAAACTTTAGTCAAGAAGGTAGTTAAAAAAATAGGCATGTTATTAAAAGATAATTTTGTTTTAGCAAATTATATTGGATCGGTAAATTGGAGTGGAAGTATACTGACTCTTTATAGAACCGGTACAACAATTAAATTATTTACGCGTGGTGACGTTCATCATCTACACATGATAAACCATAAAGTATATTTCTAACTCTTCTATGATTTTTGTCTGTATTATCACCAAATAGTCATCATTACTTGAAAGTCATCATTACTTTATGATTCAAAAAATTTTCTTGAGCATTGAAAGAAAATGAATTTCTAGTATCTGCATCTGAGATGTGTTTTGTGGACTTGGACCTTTAATAGAAGAATACAGTAAACAGATTTACAAAGTAAACAGACTTGTTCTCGTTATCTTCAAGCCTCTTCTTTCTGAACATACCGTTAGAGCTGCATTTCAGTATTTTGGATGCTGACACCTCACTGATAACATTGGAGGCATTGCAGAATGTGGTGTTGCCATCTTGTGGTGTAATCTTGTATTG